GTGTGTGTGTGTGTGTGTGTGTGTGTGTGTGTGTGTGTGTGTGTGTGTGTGTGTGCGTCTGCGTGTGCGAGTGCGTGCGTGTCTGTGCGAGCCTGTCTTTACATCTCCATGCCTTGGCAAAACCTGGCCTTGGCTTATTAGTAGACATGTTAAGTGACATTTGACTTCAAATCGTGATGCAAAGGTCCCCATGCTTTGGCATCACGATTTGAAGTCAAATGTCATAGGGGTCATTTGGGCATAGAAAAAAAAATTATTCAAAGACACGGTATATCTCAAAATCCAAGATGGCCACTATAGAAAAATGGAAAACATGGGCCAGTCATAGATCATGAACCGTTTGTCATAGAAACTATTATGATACATGTTTTCTAACTAACTTGAGGTCTATGATAATGCGGCGTGTGCGTCATTTCTTCGCCAGCAAACTCTTCCTGGATGTCGTGTCAGCGGAGGCGTCTCCAACTTCTCGTTCTCGTTCCGCGGGGTAGAGGTAGTGCGGGAGGCCATGCACAGCGTGTTTCTCTACCACGCCATCAAGGTAACTATAGTGTTGCAGCCAGCTCGCGTTGAAATTCTGTTTCGATTGATGGAGTAATCGATGGAATGTGCAGCGATTGCTTGATTGAATCTCGTCAGTATTTGATTAAAGGATTGATAGATTGATGGATGGCTGGATGGATGGATGGATGGTCGAACGGACGCACAGACGGACGGACAGTCGGACGGGACTGACTGACTGACTGACTGACTGACTGACTGATTGATTTATTGAGTAATGCTTGCATGAGCCGGCATCGCTCGATCTCGGTGATTATCAATCGACCATCGATCGTGATCGATCGTGATCGGACGAGCGATCGGCGAGCGCTCATCGTTGCTCATGCGTTGTCGCCGTCAGGCCGGCATGGACATGGGCATCGTGAACGCGGGCAACCTGCCGCTGTACACGGACATCGCGCCGGAGCTGCTCGCCATCTGTGAGGACCTGCTGTGGAACCGCGACGCTGACGGCACCGAGAAGCTGCTGCTCTACGCACAGGTGCGTGCGTGCGTGCGTGTGCATGTGATCTGTGGCATGCTTGCGTGCGTGCATGTGTGTGATGTGTGTGCGATAAGTGCGTGGCGTGTGTGTGATGTGTGTGCGTGCGTGCGTGTGTGTGATGTGTGTGCGTGCGTGCGTGTGTGTGATGTGTCGTTTTGGCGTGCGTGCGTGTGTGTGATGTGTGTGCGTGCGTGCATGTTGTGATGTGTGTGCGTGGCGTGCATTTTCTGGTGGATGTGTCGATGCGTAGCGTCGGCATGTGTGTGATGTGTGTGCGTGCGTGCGTGTGTGTGATGTGTGTGCGTGCGTGTGTGTGTTGTTTGCATAAGTGTATGAGATAAGGTCTATGTCTCCCTGGGTACTGTGGACACGTACCCTGGTAGCGCTCCGGTCCACTACCCCGCCAGGCAACGTACTCTGGTAACTATCTGATATGGTTAGGGTTAGGGAAGTAGGCGTAGGCGACTCCCTAAACTCGTTAGTGAGTAGGCGAGGTAGGTCCCGGCACATATTGGATAGTAGCTAGGGTACAATCTGGTAATACCGAACGCGACCCGGCAAGGGTAGCGTTCCAGCAGTAGCCACAGGGAGACATAGAACCTATCAGCGGCATAGGAGTGTGTGTGCAGCTAAGTGTATTGTTGTGCATGATGTGGGCGTGTGCGTGTGGCGTGCGCGTGCGTGTCGTGTGCGTGCGTGCATGGCATGTTGTGCGTGTTGTGTGGGTGTGTGCCTTGCGTTATTGGGCAATCTTAAGGGAGGGGGGAATTATGCCAGTTTACAGGGATGAAATTTAACGGGAGTTTTGCTTGTCTCTTGCTGCAACGTCCTTTTGTTCTTGGACCTGCAGCGGTGTTCGCACTCCTCTGGCTTTTGGTCCGTGCTTTCAGACGCTGAAGATGCGTCGGGCGAACACAGAAAGCAAGCTGCGTAGAAAGCTGGAGAGAGACGCTGCGCCCACTCCACCCAGATGAATATACTAACTCAATCAAGGTGAGCTTTCCTCCTCCTGCCCTTGTATGGGCCTCCTCCACTTCTCCCCCTTGTTGCTCTACTCCACTTCTCGCCTTGTTGGGCCTACTCCCTTCTCCCCTTGTTGCCACGCCACCTCCCCTTCTCCCCTTGTTGCTCCTCCCCTTCTCCGTAACTTGTTGCACGGGCCTCCCCTTCTCATTGCTTGTCTCCTCCCTTCGCTGCCTCGCTTCCCTCATGCCTCCTATCCTTAACTGTCTCCTCCCCTCAGTCGATCACCCCACTCACCCTCAAAATAGAGTCATCCAGCTTTATCATGACCCCATAACATTGGGACACATTCGTCACACATTTCCTTGTCGCTCGACTGTTCCTCTCTTTTGCCCATCTCCTTCGCCACTGTCTTCCTCCCACCGTCTCTTTCCCCTCACTGTCTCGCGGTCCCCAAAGCCGTCGTCCTCCCTCACTTGTCTCCTCCCCTAACTGCCCTCCTCCCCACCTTCTCCTCCCCCACCTTCTCTTTCCCTCACTGTCTCCTTCTCTCACCATTTCCTCCCCTCACTGCCTCACTGTCTATTTACCTCACTGTCTCCTCCCCTAACTGCCTCCTTCCCTCACTGTCTCCTTCTCTCACCATTTCCTCCCCTCACTGCCTCACTGTCTATTTACCTCACTGTCTCCTCCCCTAACTGCCTCCTTCCCTCACTGTCTCCTTCTCTCACCATTTCCTCCCCTCACTGCCTCACTGTCTATTTACCTCACTGTCTCCTCCCCTAACTGCCTCCTTCCCTCACTGTCTCCTCTCCCACCGTCTCTTTCCCTTACTGTCTCCTCCCCTAACTGCCTCCTTCCCTTACTGTCTCCTCCTCCACCGTCTCCTTTCCTCACTGTCTCCTCTCTTCGTTATCTCCTCCTTTCAGCCGCCACGGCTACCGAACTGTTAGCCACCCTCATTACAGTCTGTGGCTCTACTCTGCTGGTATGCTGCATTTGCAGGGAATTGACAAGTACGTCATTGAGGATATGGAGGATGCTAGGCTGGACACTGTCAGATACCCGCGGCCTCTGTCTATCATCGAGGGACCCCTCATGAAGGTTAGTCAGTGTAGCAACATGTAGCCTCTCAAGTCTTGATATGGACTTGAATCAGAATTCGGTGTCCTTACTTGTTCGCTTTATGTCAGAAAATGATTAACGTATTGGTGAATGTCTCTTGGTGCTTCCTTCTTTCTTTCTCTCTTTCTATCTTTCTTTCTCTTCACTCTTTCCTGCACTCTCTCTCTCTCTCCCCACTCTTGCTCCCTCTCGTACTCTCTCCCACCATTTCTCTCTCTAACTTCCCTCTCGGTGTCATTCTTACTCCCTATCCCCCTTCCTCCCCTTCTCTCTCTCTCTCTCACCCCACCTCTCTCTATGCATGTACACGAGACGTGACAAGCGTGCCTTAAAGCCGTGATGTGTCGTGTTGCAGCGCAGCGCACACGTACACACGTCTATAGCACCCTGTATTAGATCCGTGACACGTTGCTACCACAGGGCATGAGTGTCGTCGGGTGATGGTTATATATATACACATATACATAACACGACGTGACGTACATACACGTACGCTGCACACGTCTGTAGCACCCTGTATTCATATATATATATATATATAATATATATATATATATAACATGTACATACATGCACACGTCTGTACGTACCTCTTGCATTAAATCCGTGTCGCGTTACCTGTGCAGGGTATGAGCGTCGTCGGCGACCTCTTCGGCTCGGGCAAGATGTTCCTGCCGCAGGTCATCAAGTCGGCGCGCGTCATGAAGAAGGCTGTCGCGCATCTCATCCCGTTCATGGAGGCCGAGCGCGCGCAGCGCCGCCTGGAGGCGGCGCTCCTCAACGGCGAGGCAGCGGGAGCAGGCGACGCCGTGGACACCAACGACGACGACGACGTCGACGCCGTGAGTGGGAACGGAGGGAGACGCGAAGGGAGGGGGGAGGTTGGGCGATGGTCGCGCGACGGCGGCGGCGGCCCAAGGACGTGTCAGTTTAGCGGGTCAGAGAGAGGTAATGGGAAGGTCGCTGGAGCTCACAGTGAGCCAGCCCAAGGACATGTCAGCGTGCTGCATCTGGTAGAGGTCATGGGAAGGTCACTGGGGAGCACAGCGGGGCAACTGAAGGTCACTTCAGTCTAGCGCATCCTATAGAGATTGAGCGAAGGTCACTGAAGTTTCGAGAGTGTGTGTGTGTGCTTATGTGTGTGTGTGCGTGCGTGTGTGCGTGCGTGTGTGGTGCACGAATCATGATTGCCAATGGCTGGTCATGGCGATCAAGTTCGCTGACAACCAAAAAGGATCGAAATATTCTCGGAAAAGCGCTTATCATCCTACATCGCCATTGAGTTAATTCCGAGCATTCATTGCTCGTGTTTTTTGTTGTGTTGACTGGTGAATGTTACCTACTAGTATTACAGTTGCGCAAATCCGACGCCCGCCGTTGTTTACCAAATCTGCTGTCTCTTCGCGTCTGCTGGCTGCCGAGTGTGTTGTCGAGGGTGTTTGTCGTCTGCTGTTTCTTTCTCGCGTGATCGGGTACATCCCTTGTTCGCAGAGCGCGTATGCAGGCACCGTCGTCTTGGCAACGGTGAAGGGCGACGTACACGACATCGGTAAGAACATCGTCGCCGTGGTGCTGGGATGCAACAACTTCAGGTATGAAACTCCGCCGATGACAACGGCCACGGTTATGCACGCATATCTCCTCACTGGCGCTGAAATATAATCATGTGATAGGGCGAACTGGTACGCGTGAGTACCGCATGATTTTTTGTTGGCGCACAAGTACGTGAGAACCTGTGCGCCTCACCTGTGTGATTGCATTAAAGCAAACACTAGAGCTCAAGGGGTCGTTGTCGTAACAGGTACTACAGATATGTACCCGAGGTACATATATGTATACACAAAGTGTACCAGACTTGTACTACAGAAGTGTACCCTAACCCTAAC